CACGCCAGCACTCTCGCCAATGTTCTTGCCAACACTCTCACCGCATTCCTCTCCGCAAGCATTCTAAAAAAGATATACGTCAATAGCATTACCACTTAATGCCACCTGGTGCTGAACGCGTTCACACGACTCATACGTTATCTGCGGGGGATTGATGCCTATGCCAATACTTGTTGAGCTGCCCGGCTCCCGGGTAATCCCCAGTGTCTACTTGTCGCCAGGAGACGCTCAGTGACCCAGCCAGCCTGGGACGACTGTTCGCCATCCCCCCCCCCCCCCTCCGCTCCCTGTCGTCGTGTCCGACACGCTCCGAGGTAATATTTTCACGCACATTTATCGTGTGACGAATTTGGAATCAAAAAGCATGCTTTGCAAAACCGGTAAGAATGTCGCCATCAGGGCTTAAGCATTCTGGGGATTACTTCACACGGCAGCCATTCCTTCCGCGTAAGCAGGTTGTCTGCGACAGGAAACGTTGAACGGAACTTCATAAAGAGGGATGTTGCGTCTCGAACGGCAGGAAATCGTGACCAAATATAGCCTCCTAACCTTTAAAAATATGTGCAAAATCAGTGACATCTAACGACACCTTTTTCTTCGCTTACCACGTCATCACGCTACAATGTTAACTTCAGCCGGCCTAAGATTTCTCAGCAGCCATAATGGCGCGATGCATAAGTACCACTATTCCATAGAATCCAAGCTAACGCCAAACCTGGCAAAAATGGTCCAGCGTGAAGAGTTTGCGGACGGAACTAATAACCCTATGTGGGTCGGAAGGAGTCCCAGCTGTCACTTGCGTAGCAAAAACAATGACTTGGCGGCGTTTTCTGCTGTTCATTTTAAGGGAATGCTCTTATAACTATTGGTATGCTCTTTACGTGGAAAAAACTGCTCTAGACAACACAGTTCTCGGTGCAGCAACTTTGCTCCTCAATGCGGCATGGCTTGATAATCTTATCGAAGCTTGCACAGCATTGACTGCGAGCCAGCTGACGGCCACTTTATCTGGAAATTGTCCTCACGAACGCCAGGTATGAACGCCTCAACAGTTACATCTTGTTTGGCCTTGGTTACCGCGTGGCTTATGGAATGGCAGGATTTGAATGACGTTAATATGGCGGCATGTACGCCGAGGTGACTTTGAGATACTGCCTTGGTATACCTTTCCCGTTGTGGCGGGCGTGTAGCACAACGGGTATACCTTTCCCGTTGCGGCGGGCGTGTAGCTCAGGAACAGGTGGGGCTGAGGTCTTAAGAAGGGCATGACTGTGAACAGTACCAAAATGTATTGAAGATGGCCAGTTCAGTTCAAAACCTCATATAAGTGTGGGACCCTCCCCTCAAAGAGCATTATAATGACAAACAGTCGCATTTTAATTCAAAAGCCATGCAATATGGCAGCATCTTTTTGAACTGGAAATCAGACCTTTGGGTTCATCACAGCATATTTAGCTTATTCCTTCTCAGACCTGCAAAACCAATATGCAAATGCAATTTGGCTTCAGCTCCAGCTCAGGGATAGGCTGGCTAAAGCTGGAATCTTCTTTAACGAGGAAGCCACCAATGCAAATACAAATGATTTGCGTACATATCGACAGCCACAAAATTGAGCTGGTTCCAGATTTGTTTTCTAGTGCAGCTTGGACGGATGGCAAGTTTGCTACATTCCCTGCCGAGAAGAATGCATTACTACGCACCAAATTTCTGTCCTAGACCATGCTTGGTATTTCATCACTAATAAGCCCATGCCATGACACCCACAATTAGTAAGTGGCTTTGTGCTTCATAAGAGTAAAAAATGCATTGATTTTCCTACCTTTCTGTGTTAATGTCATTATTTTATGACGAGCATTTTTGTTCATGCATGCAGTGCCAAACGATGCGTACGGATAACCTGGCAAATTATGTCCGCGGTGAGCCAGTGCGATATCTTGACGCATGCAGGGTTTGAGGGCCGCGCCGGGTTCCGCGCCACGCGGCCGGAGCACGGCCCCATGAAGCAAAGGACCGGGCGCCAGCACACGTGTCACCAGCGTGGTGGCGCGCTGGGCCGGCCCAGTGGAGTCAGGGCGTGGACCGAGGGCCGAGGTGGGACAAGGTAGCCGATGAAGTCATGCTGCGTTTACTTTGCTATTCATGGTGCTAAAATATCCCGCCGATGTCAAACTGGTGCGCTTGGCTGCTTCATGAGCGAACGTGTGGCAGGACGGGAAAACAGCACAATGCAGCACAGAGGTGAGTAGGGAGATGAGTCCACGGTATGCCACGGACATCCTCGGGGTCTGAAAACACCGCCACCTAGTTTCGGTCAAAGGGAAAGTCCAACAGCGCCTCATCAAAGCCTCAAACGTCACGTAATATTATTCAGCTGTTCAGTGGCGTCGTTTCTGCACAGAAGTGCCACGGTGTTTCAGACCATCTAAACTTCAAACGACCGTACAGACGAAAGAGACAACAACTGCCAGGCTCCCCCATTGTCACAACACAGCTGCGCCGCTGGCGCTAAGATCTGAAACACGCGCTGCGAATTAGGTCGAGACTGACGCTGTGCTTCGCTGAGCCAGCTATCCCCGAAGATGATAACAAACTCATTTGCATACATCATCTGCACTAACATGAAGAAGCGCAAATGTTTCGCCCTTCTCGGAGCTCTAGGGATGATGGATATTTTATTGCAGCTAATGGTGTGTTCGGTGACGAAAGCTGAACTATGAATCCCAATAATGATAAATGAAATCCGTTGGCAGACGCCATAACAGGCAAACTGTGGAGGCCGTCTCCAGCGGATGAAACTAATGCCGCTCGTATTTTGGGGAGGCGAATGAAAGCCTACTCAGCAGCAGGCGAGGCCACAAAATGAACTTAGCGGCCTATATGTACGAGAAAATAGGAGAGGAGAAAGAGGAAGAGTGAGACAGAGAGAGAGAGAGAGAGAGAGAGAGAGAGAGAGAGAGAGAGAGAGAGAGAGAGAGAGAGAGAGAGAGAGAGAGAGAGAGAGAGAGAGAGAGAGAGAGAGAGAGAGAGAGAGAGAGAGAGAGAGAGAGAGAGAGAGAGAGAGAGAGAGAGAGAGAGAGAGAGAGAGAGAGAGAGAGAGAGAGAGAGAGAGAGAGAGAGAGAGAGAGAGAGAGAGAGAGAGAGAGAGAGAGAGAGAGAGAGAGAGAGAGAGAGAGAGAGAGAGAGAGAGAGAGAGAGAGAGAGAGAAAGAGGGAGGGGGAGGGGGGGGGGGGGTCGAAGAGAAAGGAGACGGAGAGAAAAGGGATGGGAAATGGAAAAAATAACGATAAAGGTATGTGCTAAAAGAAAAAGAGAGCATGGGTCAAGCTTGGGAATTTTCTGCAGGCCTCGCCCCCTCCCCCCCCCCCCCGTTTCCCCCTGTTTGTCCGAACCTCGTCCTAGTGTGGACTCGAAGCGCCAAGATGTTATCAAGAGCGCTGAAAACAGCAAAAAGCTCGCGTCTTTTTGGAACGAGCGTTTGCCCTCCGGTTTCAAAGAATTACATAGCTCCGTCTCTAAGAGGGGAGATAGAGAAAAGGATAAATACCAGCGATAAGACTGCAGTGAGAAAATGTAACGCCCTTCTTCCAAAGCAGATACCATCTCTTAGCGTGGCAGGAGTGATAACCGGCAGCTGCGTGCCCTGGCTCCAACATCGCAGACCGTAATACATTGCACGCAAATACCGGCACATAACACAAGAGTGAGGTTACCTGTAGCTTGCCTAGAAGGAAAAGGATCTTTACATTGTTTTGGGAGTTCCCGTGGCAGTTGCTTAGTCGTAGTTCTTTTAGGCCCGTTCATCATAGCTGTCTTGTCTTGTTTGACGAAATGGCTATGTCTGTGTTACCTGCTGCGACAACGGAAAGCATATTAACATGAATGCCAGACAATCCACCTTCTGGAAGCTCCTAAATACATATGAATATATCCGTCACCTATCGGTTACGCTCCCAGACGGCTGTTCACTTGAGTGAGGTTGCACAAGGCCTTCCATTCCGGCTTGACTCCTTGCAAGACTCAACCACATCGTTTTCTAGATCTATCGAGGCCTTTCCAAGACTCCACTGAGGTACACTGCTGACGACAGAAGTCGGAGAACCCGCTTACCGCCGCGGGACCCTCCAGAATCTCGACAGAGTTCCGAGAGAATTCGATGCCTTTTGAGCTCTTGCGCTGATAATTGGCGACCTGAGGCACATCGGGATATACTGGCTGAAAAAGGATATAGCGCAACCGAAGGCGTTGATGCATGCCAAGGTAAAAATTGGGTGCGGTCTATTTCAATATATTTATTCCATGCTGTTTTCGCGTGTGGCATGGAACATTTAAAATTCAGCGCAAGTTTCCTTAAAATATCAAAGGCTGTTTGAAGCTCCTTTTCCAGGCCGCCTGCCGGTGTCCTGAGACATTGGAAGCTCCTGGAATTGAGCCACCTTAGAAACCAAAAATCTACGCCCTTAAAATCGCACCATGCACGCTCAAGGACTGCACATAGATCATTGTCCCTCCAGCTTTCGCTTCTTCATGCACTCCGAAGCGGGATGAGCCGGTAAAGTGAGCTGTTTCTGGCACGCACACTCGTAATCGGAGCTGTCAAACTGCGTGCGTTGGCAATTGCGTGCGCAGGAAAGTTCATTTAACATATCCTCAGTTTGGATTATGTCTCATTATGACAGCTTAAGAATAAGATGAAATGCAAAATGAGACCAACTATCTTGCTTTGTTGGCGACCACCTGTGGAGCGTTCTACATGGATTAGTTGTGTCTTCCCACGTCATCTCACCCAATTTAGGTGCTAATCATACGTACACCAGCTGCAGAAGCGCGGCGAGCCCCCACAGCTGCTCGCGGGGATGATGGCTGAGTGTCTCCTCTGGTGCCTCCTCAAGGCCACTCAGCACCACTATCACGACAGCCTAGCACGGGCACGGGGTCAAAGCTGTCGCCGGCAGACCGGCACGAGAGCGGCGCCCCCCCCTTGGCCGACGCCGCGCACCTACCTTCTCCAGCGCCAGAGACTTCGGCTTCGAGACGCCATCACGTCGCTTCTCCATAGCGCCTCACACCATGGCACGACTTCAGGCGCCCGCGGGGACGCGCTACGTCAAATCGCATTGTGAGCACTCGCCGCCGGACATGGTGCGTGCGCTCTCCTCGCCGGCTCACCCGGCTCTCGTCCGGCAGGCGGTGGCGCCCCGGCCGACGGTGGCGCCGTCCGCGGCTGGCCGCGCAACCTGCTGCGATCGATGGCGCTGTCGGCGCCGGGCCGCGCAGGGGCGGTCGTAGAGCCTGCGGGCTGGTCGGCAGCGGGTCCCGGGAGTCAGAAGGGAGCGGGGGGGGGGGGGAGGGGGGAGAAACTGCCGGGACGGCGAGCTGCGTGCATTGCGATGCGGACGTGCGGTTTCCGCTCGGGAGGCCGCCCGAAGGCGCGCCTCGCGCCGCCCCCAGCGTCTGCCTGGAGCCGCGCCTGGCGTCCAGCCCAGTCGAGCGCGTTGCCGGGCCAATATCGAAAGCGGCGGCGACCAGCACGCGGCCGCCGACGACCAGCAGTCGGCGGGAGCCCAGGCGCCAGATGAGGGGGGGGGGGGGTTGGAGCCGCCGGGGGCGCTGGGTCACGCCTTGCGCGTACCCGAGGCGTAGAGCTGGGGCGGTCGATTGTGCCTGGAGCGTCGCTGTGATACATGCCGCTGCGATACACACCGCTCGCCGGTGGCAGCGAGCGTCGCCCGTGCCAACGGGTTCAGACAAGCCGCTTCGAGTGCGACCATTGCTGGCTGGGGGTGAATGGCGGCAAAGGCGGCGCAGGCAGGTGCCGCACGGCGTGTTTCAGGGGAAGAGCTGCTTCGGAGGCGAATGGCCGCCGGGGCGCCAGCTGGCATGCCACGCGCCTGGCAGGAGCACGCACTCAAACATACTCCTGCTAACGCTGTCGGCGCGCACAAAACAGTTGACTGGCTCCCCTTACCAAACGAAGTTTTTTGCAGTCCATTGTCCAAAAAGACGTTTGGCTGCCGCCCATGGCGTCATTGCGCTGGAATATAGTCTCCCCTGAGCGTGGTCCAGGACATTTAACTTCTGTTTCCGAGCGTCAGACGCCTACTACTCGCTCTATCGTTGATTTGGCGACTCCCTCCCCCCCCCCCCCCCGACCATTTCGTTGTGCGTGCGTTCTCACGGTCCGTTGACATGCCCCGTTCAGCTTTGTGAAGAGCTTGGTTCGAAAGTGCGAGCGCTCAAACCTATTCAATCCCATGATGAAGCTGCGCGTCTGGGAAGCCATAAGCACGAGGCTCGAGTCCCGGCAGGGCCCGCCCGCCCTGCCACGCTGAGAAACAGGTAACGCCGTGTAGTTTGAGTCTGTTTGCTGAGTCCAGTCTGAGTCTGAGTCTGAGCACAGAGTCCAGTCTGAGCTGAAAGGTGCGTCGTAAAGCTTGACATTGACACACAGGCACGCACGCACGCACGCACGCACGCACGCACGCATGCACGCACGCACGCATGCACGCACGCACGCACACACAACACACACACACTCACTCAATGGCAGGGATGTTTCGTGTGGACAGCCATTTGAGACCATGGATGTCAACATTGACATGCGTTTGGTGATGTCGACTGCTTCAGTTGGCAAAATGCCAGCGTATTTACAAAGGCTCTTATGTGCTGGCTATCAGTGAATGGATCGCTGCGAAGAATTTCACTGAGCGCATGTAGTGAAATGAATGAATCAAACCACCACGTATTTCAACACACTACTTTCGGGATGATCAACGAAACTGAAGACAGGTACGCAGTGCATAAAAGGCAGTCTCCAATGCGCTGTTGGCACAGCCCGCAATACACTGTCGGAACTTGGCATGACGGTAAGTGGACGCATACAGACTCCAACTGTATGCTACCCAACATACAGACTCCAACTGTATGCTACCCAACTTACAGACTCCAACTGTATGCTACCCAACATACAGACTCCAACTGTATGCTACCCAACATACAGACTTCAACTGTATGCTAACCAACATACAGACTCCAACTGTATGCTACCCAACATACAGATTCCAACTGTATGCTACCCAACATACAGATTCCAACTGTATGCTACCCAATATACAGACTCCAACTGCACGCTCCCAACACTGTCAATAGTTCTGAATGGCATCGTGATCGCCCGCCGGCTGTGATCGGAAACATTTGGTGGTTGGCCTGGGACTTCCTTCCCTGTTTGGAACATTTCATTTTTGTTTAGGGAACGCTGCAGTTTCCCCGCTGCTCTGGATACTAGTCATTACGAAAGCAGGAGAAGAGGGCGAAAATGCAATTCATTGCATCGTTATATGCAGATGGGCTGCTTTTTCGGGAGGCCTTCGGGTGCTGCACCAGGCAGCAGCTGTGTTAACGCACTGGCACCAAGCTGAGGGGCGCTGTGTTGGGTTTCGCTGGCAGCGTGGCAGGTGCCCGCGAGAGGGGACGCTCCTCGGAGGCGCGACATTTGCCCTTTGAACGCAAGGTCACGTTGAGAGCCTCGCTGTCAGCGGTGTTTTGATCTCCCCACACGTCATCAGCGTGATGGCCAGCTGCGCACACAGCCTTATGAGCTGCATGCATCGCAAAACGGAGATTGCCGGCATGCTCACTCCCTACCTCGGATACATCTCGTGCGCGCTACAGTTCGGCGAACGGCAGACGTCTAAGTGAAACAGCTCGAGCTCTTCCCACCCGCCCGATGTTGTCAGTCCTTGACAGAGGCTAATGAGCGTTGAACAGAAATCCCTTACCTGAAGTCCCAATGCTTTTCTAATGAGTGGCAAAGTGTGATTCTCTTGTGCGCATATGCTCCACGTTCCTGCTTCAATGGGTCAGGCGTCGGATCAGCCTTGTCCATGTTAACCATGTTTGTCGGGTCATCCGATCCCATCCCCACGAATGTCACCACACCGTCCGTACACAAATGTGTTAGCTCTGCACGTATAATGTCTTACGCGTCGATCGAAATAATTGAATACGTGCAACAAAATCGCCATTATGTTATAAACGCACACAGGTTCGAGCGGATCCGGCATTTCCAGGTGGTTCCGAGTCAGAGCTCCTCGAATCGCCTTGCAGACTCCTCGTGCAGCGAACGTTCTGGTATTTTCTTAGCGTGCTGCCTGCGGGTCTGCTAGATTAAAATTTTTAATTGAGGTTATACTTTTGAGACTAACTGCAAATTATGAGGTCGTCGGCTGTAGCGGACTGGAGATGCCACTTTTAAGCTCGCGGGCGCGGGTAACAAGAAATTAAAATTTGCACCCAGCGGTACCACCTTTCAAAGTCGGTTAGACGCCTTAGCGGCTAAGGTTGGCCTAACCAAGCACAAAACTTGATTTCTACCCGAATTTCAACCACTTTAATTTCCGTCCCCGTTGTCAAAGTCAGACAAAACTTCAGGTATATCCAATCGATCCCAAAATTGCTTTGCCGCAAAATATAGTATCCCATTTTAAAGCTATACCATGCTGAATTTTTGTGAAAAACTTACAATGGAGTTTAATTGAGACAGCATCTAAGAATTCGAATATTTATCATGAAAACAAAACAGGTATCGTGCGTCCTTCATCGAAGGTGGCCCGAGGCGCAGAAAAATATTTTATGTGGAATGGTGCGGCCTGACACGTATGGACGAAAGCCTATGGAAAATTTTACAGGCAGACTTCCAAAAACTGAACTTACACGGCCATCTGAACAGATAACGGGACAGAGTATGCAAAAATCTGGCGACAAAATAAATCTACAGAGTGATTGTTTTGAAATATACTCTGAACAATACTTTGACGCCTTTTTAGAGATTTAATTCGAACCTTCTGAATGGGTGAATTTCCGGGATCAGAGCTCACGCTAAGCAGTGCTTGTTGCATGAGCCCTGAACCCTACCACTCGATCACGCTATTGCATGTCAGCGGCAGAATTTCGTGGCGAAAGCTCAACCGTGCCACAAAGCTCGGCACGGTCTGTCCTGCCCTCTGACGCTATCTGACCTTTTTCGCGGCCGTTGCCACCGGCCGCAGGCCATGCCTGTCAAGAGCAAATAGCGAGCAACCTGAACTTACCCCGCCACGGGCGGGCGGATCGGAAGGCAGGTGCTCTAACCAACTGAGCCATCGGAACGAACTAACACGTGTAGGAAGTTTACATAAGCAAAACAGACCTTGCATACTGAGAATTTAGGATGATGGGTTGGGAATTCCCAGTTTGAAATGAATCGACCGGTGGTATATTAGAGTTGGGGTTGGGCTATGTGATAAAAAATAGATATTGCTGAGAAATTTAGACTTTTGGAGTCCTGCGCTCAGAGTTGGAGGTCTTCGTGACAGTCGATGAAGGCCACCACGATATTGTTTTCAATTTGGAATACACCGCATAAAGTTGTGCTGATTTCATTCCTCGACATCCTCTGTGGTGCAGCCAGGTGAAAGATACATTGCCAAACTATACTCCAAATCGTCCAGTCCCGTATTGGTCTTTGGTACGCACTGATACCTCAGCTGGTTAGGGTCCCGCCGTCAGGTCACAGACTTGTGGCAGGATGGGCTCGACTCAATCAAAGGCGGTCACTGTTTGTCTTCGACTGAGCCAGCTGCGGCCGGTGGCAGCAGCTGGGCCTGCGGTTAGGTGACGTCAGAGGACAGGATGGACCGAGTCAAGCATCCCACCACCAAACCACCACTGCTTAGCGTGGGTAGCCATGCCACAAATGCATCCATTCAAAATGATCGGACTAAGTATTTAAAGATAAACCCCATGGCCTCCCCAATCATGCTACACAACAGCTCCGCACGCCCCAGGGATACTAACATATCACGAATGGGCAGAGCCAAGTATTCATCTTCCGATATGCAGTCCTGTGAGCGTGAACATGCGTAATTTTATAGATTTTTCGGAACATGCTTATTTGGGACGAGAACGAGTCCCTTTCCACCAGCACCTCAGGGCGCTATACCGCCACCGCTCTGATACCCTTCTTGGCGGTCCTGGGTGACTTCACGGGATCGATTGGGATGATGAGAGGCTCCAGCGGAACGGAGTGAGACCGCACACGGCACGGGCTTCGCTGAATTAGTTCGGAAATCATATTGCTGGAAAGCACATCAGCTTAAAGGGAATGTTCCGCATTCGAATGGGGGTT